CAGGGACGTGGCCACTGCGGGGACAGTGACATGTGGGATGTGGGGACAAGGCCAGGGTTGTGTGGGGACTCGTGGGGCACATGGGGACAGGGACACACGGGGCAGAGGGGACACACTGGGGACACCACAGGGGACACAGGGACATCAGTAAAGCCCCACGGGACACAAGGACACTTGGGGACAGGGGGACACACGGACATCACTGGGGTGAAGCCTCATGGAGCACACGTGGTGACACACACGTGGTGACAGGGACACGCAGGACACGATGCCACCACAGCAATGGGGCCCCCAAACCCTCCCAGCCTGGGGTCACATCCTGGACTGGTTGTGGGGGGAAGGGGGGGGCTGTGCCTCAGCCCCCAAGTGTCACCGGGCTTGGGGACATGGGGACAGGCTGTGGGGCACAAGAACATTGTGGGGACATGTGGGGCACAGCCCTGGCTGCCCATCCCTGGCAGTGCCACCTGCGCTGGTGGCACCACGGCTGCTGTCCCGCAGCACGCCCCATGGGACCTTCACTCCCGGCCCTATAGGTACTTGTAGGGCACGGGGGACATTCCAGAACATTCCATGGGGACATTTATGGGTTTATCCCAGCCCTACAGGCACTTGTAGGGCACAGAGAACATTCCAGAGAATTCCATGGGGACATTTATAGGTTTATTCCCAGCCCTACAGGTACTTGTAGGGCACAGAGAGCATTCCAGAACATTCCATGGGGACATCTATAGGTTCATTCCCAACCCTACAGGCACTTGTAGGACACAGAGAACATTCCAGAGCGTTCCATGGGGATGTTTATAGGTTTATTCCCGACCCTACAGGCAGTTGTAGGGCACAGAGCATTCCATGGGGACACATATATGTTTATCCCAGCCCTATAGGTACTTGTAGGGCACAGAGGACATCCCAGAGAATTCCATGGGGACATTTACAGGTTTATTCCAGCCCTACAGGCACATGTAGGGCACAGAGCATTCCATGGAGATGTTTATATGTTTATTCCCAGCCCTACAGGCACTTGTGGAGCACACAGGACATCCCAGAGAATTCCATGGAGACATTTATAGGTTTATTCCCGACCCTACAGGCACTTGTAGGGCACAGAGAACATTCCAGACCATTCCATGGGGATGTTTATAGGTTTATTCCTGACCCTACAGGCACTTGTAGGGCACAGAGGACATCCCAGAGAATTCCATGGGGATGTTTATGGTTATCCCAGCCCTACAGGCACTTGTAGGGCACAGAGAACATTCGAGACCATTCCATGGGGACGTTTATAAGTTTATTCCCAGCCCTACAGGAACTTGTAGGGCACAGGGGGGATATTCCAGACCATTCCATGGGGACACCTAAGGTTCATTCCAGCCCTACAGGCACTTGTAGGGCACAGAGAACATTCGAGAGCATTCCATGGGGATGTTTATAGGTTTATTCCCGACCCTACAGGCACTTGTAGGGCACAGAGAACATTCCAGACCATTCCATGGGGACGTTTATAAGTTTATTCCCAGCCCTACAGGAACTTGTAGGGCACGGGGGGATGTCCCAGACCATTCCATGGGGATGTTTATAGGTTTATTCCTGACCCTACAGGCACCTGTAGGGCACAGGGGGGATGTCCCAGACCATTCCATGGGGATGTTTATAGGTTTATTCCCGACCCTACAGGTACTTGTAGAGCACAGAGAACATTCCAGAACATTCCATGGGGACCCCTATAGGTTCATTCCAGCCCTAGAGGTACTTGTAGGGCACAGACCATTCCATGGGGACCCCTCTAGGTTCATTCCCAGCCCTACAGGTACTTGTAGGGCACAGAGAACATTGGAGAGCATTCCATGGGGATGTTTATAGGTTCATTCCCGGCCCTAGAGGTACTTGTAGGGCACAGAGCATTCCATGGGGACCCTAAGGTTCATTCCCAGCCCTAGAGGTACTTGTAGGGCACAGGGGGCATGTCCCAGACCATTCCATGGGGACCCCAAGGTTCATTCCCAGCCCTAGAGGTACTTGTAGGGCACGCGGGCGGGCACGGTCTGCAGCTCCAGGCGCACGGGGCACTTGTAGAAGTGGCTGAGCAGGGTCTCGGTGTAGCCCAGCAGGAAGTAGAGTTTGTGGGGTGGCAGTGCCCGGCTCAGCAGGGCACAGATCACCAGCAGGTTCCCGCGGCGCTTCAGCACCACCTCGTCCGCCAGCAGCCCCGGGAATGTCCCGAACAGGAACCGCCGCAGGAACGCGTCCTCCACCGCCCGCTGCGCCGCGCCCGCCTCGCCACACAGGTTCCCTGAGGGGACACGGTGACACTGGGGACACTGGGGACACTGGGGACACTGGTGACTGCCTGCAGTGCCAGCCTCGCCACACAGGTTCCCTGAGGGGACACGGTGACACTGGGGACACTGGGGACACTGGGGACACTGGGGACACTGGGGACTGCCCTGCAGTGCCAGCCTCGCCACACAGGTT